TATATATATATATATATATATATATAAATACCTTTCAGACATATTGACATTTTGCACATTGAAATGTGTGCTGAAGCTTTTGATAAAGTGTAAATTCCTATAACTCATTGTCTCTCACTGTGACTCTCGTTTTTTTGCATTTCTACTAATATTAAATGTATCTCAAATAAGAAATGCCACTATAATATAAACAAATCTGTCTTCATTTAAGTTGTATCTATTGTTCACATTTGTGCTCTTCATTTCTCCAATGGTTGTCCAAATATGCAACTTAAACAGCTTTCTGAATGCTGTTTATATTATGCTTATGCTTATATTATGCTTCATGAAAACAACTCTTTCTCCATAATCAGCACTGGATGCTTGAAATGTAAGATGAATATTTACAAGCTGTGAGATCTCCTTTAGCTTCTCACATCTACGTGCAACAGCGACCATATCTGAGAATGTGCTAATTGGCCTCTGTTTTTCCTTCCTAATGTACTTGAATTTATCAAAAAATTAAAAAAGCACATGGTGCATTGTGCTGCACAGTGAACAGGTGCATTTTAAGATGTGCCTGAATAGCTGGACTGTTACAAACTTGTGGTTTTATTGTTCTGAAAGCCTGGACTGGTAAATAATTTGATCTGCCACATATTTTTCCTGTTGGATTACTTATTTATGCACCTGCAGCTGAAAATATTTAAAGGACAATGTTTTAGTAAACATATTCATCCAAATGCAACTCCTAAATGTAATGTTTTTTGTTAAGAAGTTGTTCGATGGTGATATATGAAACTTGCATTGGCGAATAGCAAGATCATGAACAGGAACAGCTAAATATTGTTTATTTAATTATGCGGGCTTGCACATCCAACAGGCTGAGATACTACTATAAGAGCCCAAAAAAAACAGAATAAAGAATATAAAAGTATTCCCATTTTTTTATATATTATTCTTTTAATGTGGTATAGCAAGCAAATTTTTTTGTTTCTTCATATCTTGTAACGTAATTCGGGGGGACAATTCAATCTGTGTACATTCAGACAACTGCCTGAATGCACCAGACCCATTTTCATTTTTGAGTTGTAAAATAAATATTACACAGATTCAAAAATATATATATAAAAAATTTATCAGTCTAACTGACTTACAGTTTATGTTTAATTTTATTTTATGAGCTGAGAATGTGCGAGCAGTGTGTAATTGTGTAGGCGTACCGCTTAGAAGTAACATTGCTTGCCATCAGTGTGAGCGTGAACAGGTGAATGATTGGATGTAGTGTAAAGCACTTTGGTCAAATCTCCTGACTTGGAAAAAAGTGCTATAAAAGTAAAGGTGATTTATAATAGTACACCTGAAGAGGTTTATCTTTCTTTTCCCTGCCCTGTATTAAAATGAATTAGTTTGTTTTTCAGATCCATAGAGGGTGTCTGGTTTGGTGCTTCGGTCTGCAGAGGTTTCTCAGTGTTTGATCAGAGCAATTAGCAGGTCAGTTAGCAGCTCTGGGCTTTGTGTACCAAGGCAGTTGTTTCTAGCTTAGCTTATATGTGGGTCATCTGGTTTCAGTTTTTATATCACTTTGTTTAATCTTGCTTGATTAATTAAGCTTTTTGCTGCTTTTTGATTAATATATACACCACTTGGCCACAATGTTTATGTTTTAGCTAGGGTTGGAACAATTTTACCTAAATTAAATCTGTGATTTTTACTTTAACCTTTTTATTTTTAACATCCAAATCGACATTTTCCTTTGATTTTCCTTTGTAGAAACTGTATTTATGTAGATGTTTCTCTCCAGGGTATCATTGTTTTAATGGCCTTGACATTTTTTTTTTTTATTATGGCAAGATTTTAACGTTACTGTTGTTTGGAGAATCTCTTACTTCTGCTTTCATGCATGGTTCTGAAACCTAGAAACTGCAACTTTTTTTTCTTATTCTGTGTGGCAGCAAATCTATTTTCAGCAAATGATGGTCACTTAAATGGCTGAAGTGAGAAAGTCAGTGTTCAACTCTTCTTAAATGTATTTTGACCAAAATTGAGTGCTTCTGCCATTCAGTCAATTTCTCAGCTCTAGTTTTAACTATAAACCTATAGCTAATTTAATAAGGATTTTATGATTTGAAACAACATGATGAACAACAAAACTGCAAATTAGAAGTAAATGATAAAAAGTTTTTATAAATAAGACCCTGTAAAGTGAAGGATGCCAATGTATTTACCTTGGCATTTCTGTAGCCAGCTCAGGGAATTCTGACAACACAATCAATTATCCTACAAGAATCACCTAGTTTGTAAATAAAGTGCACCTCTGTGTAATTTCATTTCAGCATACATCTGGCTGTTCTGGCATCTATGAACAAGCTCCATCATAAAGAAGAAAGAACAGCAAACATGTCAGGGTTAAATCATATGATAATATAATTTAGACTATGGCAACACTGCAAACTCACTTTTACATGGCGGTCCACCTTGACTGACAAGCTGGACATGGGCTTATTAGATCCACAGCTCAGATGGGAGATTCTATTGACAGGACAGCTTTTAGTACTCAACAAATCTGTCCTTTTTTAAGGACTAGCAAGAACACAGCCTTTGTTCAATGGGAGGCTGTAATAGGGCCGGTTAACCATAAGCCATAGAGAAGACATAGCAAAAATTCTGAAGGCTCTCTGTTGAGTTAACACTAAAGTTTAAACTTACTTAAAAAATGCAATGTATGGAGGAAGTTTATCCTTACCCATCTGCTTTATATAGCGCCGTCCCCACAGCTTGGCATAGTGGTGGCCACATCATGCTGTGGGGTTGCTTCTCTTTAGCAGCAAGATGGAAGCTGGTCAGGTTCGATATGCAGATGAACGGTTCAAAATACAGACCAATACTGGAGGAAAACCCATTTGAATCTGGATCAGAGTTGAGATCCAGGGGAAGGCACAGCTTCCAGCTGGGGAGCATATTTAGATAAGTAGCCAAAGCTAAGCTAAAATGGGCATGATGAAAGCATTCATTTATATAAACGGCCCTGTCCACATGATTTTGAAATATTTGGAAAGACTTTAAAATTGAAGTTTAGTGACCCTTTTCATTCAGTCTGATTGAGCATTTTTGGGGTTTTTTTTGGAAACAAGAATTGGCAAGAATTTTAGTATCGAGATGTTAGTGCTGTTAAAGGTGCTTTCTCAAAGAATTGATGAAAAGAAGTGAATATAAATGCATGTCACACCGTCTTATTCAAAAAAATAAATGTTTCAAACAAATACATAATTTTTCTTCCATTTCACATCCTGTGCCGAATTCTCTTAGATAATGGCATTCATACCATGTATGTGATGAGTCTGAAACTTCATGATGAAAAAAAAAAGCACAGTAGTTAATCGACTGAATACTTTAAAGAGGCACTGTAAATATTCTTTCCGTTGATTCACTTTTAGTTACTACACTTAATCTCTCTTTATCTACTCTACAATTGCTCTCTCATCCATTCTTCCTATGTGTCTCTAGTTGCATGCTGAGGAGGAGATTACATGCCAGAGCAGCACTTGCTGCTTGTCAGTCTCAACATTTGTCCCATCATAGAACTACAACTTCACCCAGAGGAAGAATAACCACGATAAAAACTCCCATATGTCACCAATAGATAAGGTTACACACGCAAACATGTGATAGACAAAAATATGACTGCGTGGCCAATGAGTGTGTGTAAGTGTGGGCATATGTTGTATTTTCCTCCGCCCCTGAAGGCTGCCGTAGCTGTCAGTTCTGCTCAGTCTGTGCGGCTTTGTGAGCTGAAGCCTGCAGTGGGAGGAATTTGGGCTGGACGCAGTCCCACTGAAGTCATTTGCACAGAGCGGTCAGGGTGGAACAAAAGTCAGGCTTCAGAGAAACACTTGAGTGTCTACCGCGGTGTGAGCGTGAGAGACGGAGTCACAGACAGAGAGGAGGAGGTGCAGTCTTCTGCTTGTGGACTAAATAAGTTAAATTCATTTCTTTTTTTCCTGATGGATCCTTCCACTACTGAAATCTGGAAATTTTGGGTGAGTTTGACAGAGAGACGCTACTTTTATTGTTGTTTTTTTTTCTAGAACTAGTGTGTTGGTGCTTAAGTCCTTCCAGGTGGACGCAGCAGATGGTCTGTAGGTAAACTGTGCTAATTACCCTCTGCCGCTGTTGACCCAACCAGATGGGCAGAGGGGTGGGACAATCCGAGAAATGATGGAGGGATTTTGTGGAGCAAAGTTGAGGAAAGAACAGCCTGTTGCCACACATTTAAAAAGCATTGACAAGTATGAACTTGTTATACTTCCTTCTTTGAGGGCTGATAGTGAACAAGAATTTACCTGTAATTTACCTTTACAGAAACCTTAAAGCTGCTTAACTTGATATGTCTGCCAGAAATCTGTTTATAGTGATCAACTTTTCCATTCAGATTGGAGGTACAGAAATTACACGCAGAATTTAAAAGCTACTTTCCGTTTGAAACTAAAGTGATTTTCAAAATTACTCTTAACAAAAAGTTGCATGAAAGATATGAAAGTGTTAACAATGTTTTTACCTCCAAAATTAGCTTCGGCTCATTTGCTTTAAGTCAGAAGTTTAGCTGCCAAAAGTATTTGCACCCCTTAAATGTTTCCAGATTTGATTAAATTACAACCTTAGTGTGTTTTTTATGGGATGTTATCAAGTGGATGGAAAATAATGTAAGGTTTTAAACTGTTTTTTTTTTTTTTTTTTTATAAATGTACATATAAAACTATTGCCTGCCTCTCTGTTAGCTGTGATTACAGTCATGCCTCTACTAGCTTTGATCATCTACAGGGTTGAATTCTGGTTATTGTTCACAGCTTTTTCTCAGTCGGATAAACTTAAAGTTTTGAACCCTGAAAAAGATTCTCTGAAAAAGAAAAAGATTCCCAGTTTGGAGGGTTTTTTTCAATAAATTCGGCAAGGTTCCTTATCTCTGTTTGAATAAAGCATACAAACAGCATTATGTAGCTAGCTTTATACACTTTCCAGTGTATAAAGTTTCTTTATGTTCATTTTTAATGTTTGTTTTCTTTTATAATTGGTCAAAAAGGCTAATTCTCTCTCACCTAGACAGAACACCATATTTCATATTTGCAGCATCTATTGCAATGCCTAAATTTAACTTTACACATTTTTTTTTATTTTAAGTCTTTTTTTGATGATCAGAGTGATGGAGAAAAAACTATGCACATTATTGATAATTTTGCAAAACATAGAAAACCATACATATGCTACAAATACAGCCATCAGGGGTTTTAAATAACTGTTTATACATTGTAATGTTTCTTAGAACCATCACTTCCGTTTTAAAAGTTTGAGTTGCTTAGTTAAAGAAGCCAGACCATATACAGAAAGGTCTTTCTTGGGATTGTATGGTTTCTTCTTGTTGTGGACAAATGTTGGGTTTGATTTAATGATTAGATCATTCAGCTTAATTCAATTCAGTTTATTTATATAGCAACAGTTTGAAGTAATTGTTATCTCAAAGCATTTTACAGAGACAATTCAATCAAATTATACAGAGTTCTGAGGAAACCCAGCTGATTGCATCCAGTCATTGCTTTGCAGAATTTGCTCCTCCTTATTGAGCATATAGCAACAGCAGACATTTAGTTTGCATTGTGTCGTTGCATCAATCCCTCACACTGAGTGTGCATGCAGTTACAGTGGAGAAGAAACACCCCTTTTTAAAAGGAAGGAGACTGCAGCAAAGCGAGGGTCAGTGTGAGTGGCCTTTTAGCAGCGCCGTCAGGGGGGATCAAGAAACAGAAACAGACATTAATGGAACATAGAAGCACAGATCATAAATAGTCCAATTTTAATCTAAAAAACTAATATTAGGTTTTATCAGCTGGCATCTAAAATCCCCAATATTTTCATGCTGATGGAAACTCTGTGCTTCTGTAAAGTTTGTGTAACTCACTGGTTAATTTTAATTGGGTCAGTTGGTTTTCTTACATTTTTTTGTTCACCTTTGTTCACTCAATCTTGGTATCGACTGATTCTCAAAATTGCAATATCGGTACCATATTGAGAAAAAAAAAAGTTTTATCAGGACACCCCATCCATAAATGCTTTCTATGTTAGAAAATATAACAGGTAACTAACTACAGGAAGCTCTGTCTTTGAAGTAAACAGACTGCTTTGTCTAGGAGATAAATAGGACTAAACACTGAAAAACAGACTCAGCTCTATAATCTATGGTATGAAGCCTAGCTTATGCCTCCCTCCAGGATGGTATCAAAGCTAATGCCAGGTTAGATAAAGCTGCTATAAAGAGAAAAAAAATAAAAAACAGAACATAGAAAATGTTCAGATCTTTGAGAGAAGATGGTACTTGGTTATTTAGAGCTTTATACCTAAAAATAAGAGTTTTAAATTTTATTCATGATTTAACAGGAAGCCAATGAAGGTAAGCTGAAATAGAGGAATATGATCTCTCCTTTTGGTCTCCATCAGGCTGTGGTGTTTTTGATCAGCTGAAGGCTTTTAGCGGCATTCTTTAGAATCAGAATGCCTTTATTGTCATTGTACAGTGCACCTGTCTGTATTGTAAGGTAGTCCTCAAAATGGACTAAATGGAGTTACAGTAGTCGAGCCTGTAAGTAACTAATATATGGACTAGTTTCTCAGCATCACTCCTGAATAGGAAATTCTTTATATTTATTTATTTTTTGTAATATTCCAGAGATGAAAGAAGGAAATTTGTCAAAAATCCTGTTCAGTGTAGAAGTTAAATGAGAAGTCTTTATTATAAAATAACATCGAGTTACTTTACATCGTTTTCGGAGGCAAAGTTAATGCCCTCTATATGCACTGACTGAATAAGCAGCTTATTTCTTCAAAGACTCCATTCTAAACATGATACTCTATCTTGTCTGAATTCAAAAGCAGAACATTTCAGCTCACCCAAGGAGTAATAAATGCAGTTTCCTGGGCAGGTGATTATTATCCCTCCCTGATTGACTAGTTGATGATATCTGACAACCATCATTTAAGTTCCTCCTTCTGGGTTTTTATAACTATTGTCTCCATTTAGGTCTGTAATTAATGAAGACTTATGTGACAAAATACTAATCAACGTTTCTTCTTATATCTCTGGTACCTGTCATGTTACATGGCTTTTTATGGCTCTGGCAAAATGTCTAGATCAGAGAACTGGCTTTCTAGAAGCTTTGAATAGAATCTAACAAAGTGCTGAATCCATCAAAGTGATGTTGGGTGTGCTAAAAACCCACTAGGCAGTGTAAATAGACTGGTTGCCATGGTGAGTGTAGGTTTATTTGCTTAGCATGAATGGACAAACTCATGTCTGTCACCTGTTTTAACACTTGAGATATTAACAGGACTAGAAAATAGGTGAAGTGTAACTTTACTAAACAATAAATGTTTTCTTTAGGTGTTTCTGGGAAAATATTTTAAGCTCGCTATTACCTGAAGGAGGGAGACATGGCCCAGTCCTTACGAATACATTTTTTTATTTTTATTTTTTTGTGGTAAACCTCAGCTGGTTTTTATTAAAAGTCTTTGTTTGGCATACAACACCTGGATGCTTGGACCCTGAGGTTTCCAGTAGATTGCCTACTGGCAGCTATTGGCCTAGGATATAATCTAAGCACAGTTAAAAATGTTTGCTAATACTCATTTATCAAAGATTTAGCAGTTTCATTTTTTATTCTCTGCCAATAATAACCTGTTTGAGTTTAATTTAAAATAGGTATTTTTAAGTGTTGCACAGTGCTTTATTAGCAGTAACAATGTGCTTAGCAGCTTCCGGGGATAGTGCCAACAGTAAAACATAGCTGGTTCAGACTTGTTTGAAGTCCCACTGTGCAACAGCTCATGTGCTTTAATTTGTTATATTTATCCCGTTGCTACTTCATGCTCACTCTATTGGTGGGTTGTGCTGAAGTGCAAATCTTCAGCTGTTACTTTGACTGGGTCAGCTGATAGTATCCCTGCGTAATGGAGAATCTAATCAGTCTTTATTCCACAATCTCTCGGCATCAATCTTATCATGAATTAATAAATAGACACGGAAGTCATTTGTAAATATGTGCGTCTGATATAGAACTTTGGCTAAAGGTGTGTACTGCAGTTAAAGGTATAGGAAATACTTACCGGTATCTAGTTATATGTTATATGTTTCTGATTTTACATTTCTTCTAGTCTGTAAAACTACAAAAATAAAGATTTTCTATTAATTGTATTGCAACACCAGGATGGGAGATCTGAAATGAGTATTTTAGTGACCATTTAATTCCATCTGTGCTTTTGATGATGAAGGTATTTCAAAACTTATGTTGGCAGAAGAGTCTGCTGTGCTATTCTTAGAACCAGACAGGAGGCCTTCCCCAAGTGCAGAACAGCTGCACGGGTGTCCAAGGCATTGCCTGTCAGATTAGAGAGCCTACCACTTGTGATAAGGCCATCACAGATCAGGTTCTAAATCCACTCCACCAGGTGGCCAATGATGACAGAGCCCCCACCATCAGGCTTAATCTCTGAAACTGTGATGTTGGCTGGGAGGGGTGACTGAGATGAGCTTAAATGTTGGGTTTATAAAGGGAAGCATGCTGTCTCCCTATTTTTTTATGATAGATTTCTCTGTAAAGCATTTGAATAGGAACATGGCAGTGAATGTGGTCTGTGTTTCAAATGTCCTGTTGCCTGTGATGATGTTTTGCCTTCCCTTCCTCTGCAGGCTCTCCCTTGCTGAGCAGACAGAGAGCAGCCACCCTGCCCCTGCTTCTCCCTCACCTCCCTCCGATGACCCCTGCACTGCACACCTCCCTGCCATCCCTCCTCACCTCCACAAAACCACAGAGTCTCCTCCTCACCCATCCTTGGAGAGCGACACACTTCCATCCACCCCGCCTGCATCCCCCTGCATCCCTACTCCAGTCCCTGCAGACCAATGTACTCTTTCTACTGATAATTGTGAGGACCTCTACCCTGTTTCTGCACCCTCCCAAGTTCTGTTAAGGTATGGTCGGAAGACTTCATTGCCTCTCCCTGTTCATATTTAGGTCATTTTATCATTTTGGTTTGAAGTTTGGATTCAACAAATGCAGTACAACTTAATTTGGATGGTCGGATTTTTCCTGTGTTGACACTGCTCTCTAAAAGTCACAGTAATTCCTTTAAAACCCTTTAACACCCACATTTTTACATTTTATCTTATTGAAAGCTAAATCCTTCTAGTTTCTGGAGTTATGTGTACAGACTCTGTAGGTTTTACACAACCAGAGCTGTGCAACTTCAAACATGTCCCAAAAAAAAAAACTTTTTTCTCCCCTCAAATAAAATGTATTTATTTGTAATGTTATATCTTTTGCATTATTCATAGTTGACCTCTCCCACTTTCTAGAATTATTCTTCATGTTGTTGACAACAACTAGGTAAAATGTCAGATCTCTAGTCATAAACATTGTGAAAATATGACCCCTTTTGTATGTAAAAGGTCCATTTGGAACAATTGTGCCAAATTTAGACCAAATGGTCCAAATTGGTTTATTTGGTTTATTTTAATTTATTGATTTATTTGACCATAAAAAACACATTACTATGTTTAGATTTACACAAATTTTCATTCAAGCCTTTTTTTTTTTTTTTTTTTAACAATATCTTTAATTTTGATGCATGACAGTCCACTCCGTGTGTAACCGCTAGATCCTCCTCTCCTGTCACTTTGATATGGTCATGATATTTGATGAAAAATCTGAAAAATGTGATGTAAAAACATACTAATGTTGGGCGGTGGACATTAAGAAGTTATTTTTTTACTGCAAAGCTCCAAAAAAAAAATTTCACCATTAAACTGACGACTGCTGCTGATTCTGATTCACACATCTCTGGGAACAAAGCTCTGATCATGTGGTTACCTTGGGTAACTCAAACAGATAAAGTGACTTTTAGACTTTTGCATGTAAAGGTGATTTTTATTTTTTTGTAAATGCTTACATAATAAGTTAACAACTCTGTTTATTATCCCACTCACAAAAACTACAGCATTTTTCTACTTTTTGTTATGTTATTTATTAACTTGAAAAAGCACTCAGAGAGTGCAGAACTCCACCAAGCAGCAAATTTTGCTCCAAATTCTGACTTACGGTACACCTATAGATGAAACTCACACATGATCTGGATCATTAGCAAATTTAAAAGAATTGTTCCTTGGCATGAGGTGCACTTCTGATGAAAAATGTCCTTAAAATCTGTTCATAAGTTTTCAATTGATCCTGCTAAAAAAAAAAACAATTCTCCCTTTCCTTGTGTTTTTGTATTCAGTAAAGGCAAAATATCCCTATCTTACAATGTTATAGAACCCTTGAATATATTTCTGAATGCAGATGATGATCTGGATCATTACCAAAATTGAATGAATTGTTCCTTAGCATGATGGACACGTCTGATAAGAATTCCATTAAAATCTGTCCATAATTGTTGCAGTTATCCTGCACACAGACAGACAGACAAACACACAAACTTTCCTAAAAACATAACCTCCTTTGTGGAGGTAATGAAAACGGTCAATGTGTAATTTGTATTTAATATCCGTTTGCAATGTCTACTACTATGTCATCCTCATGATCTGCAAAACTCCTTTATGTTTTTCAGCTGAGGCAGTTATACTCCTCAGAGTATAGTCTCTATATTTTAAATAGAAAAATATGAATAGTCGTCACTGTTTAACACACATCATTCCTCTGCAGCCCCTTTTGGCTTTGCATTTTATTGCATTAAGTTTATTTGGAAGGAATGACTCAGCCACTTCTGGACTGCAATGATCTTTGCAACCACCAGAGGGTGTTTTCTTCACACTATTCAGAGTAATGCTCCAACCACCTACTGTGTACAGGAGTCTTCAACTGTCTTTTAGATGTGTCTCTGCTTCCACACACCTGAAGTAATGGATGAATTACCTCCTCAGTATGCAGTTATGTTCTCCAGACCTGATTAATCAGCTAAGGTGTATAGAAGCTGCAGCACATTTCAAAAGTTGCAGGACATCAGACCCCGAAGACTGGAATTGAAGACTCCTGACCTTATACAGTCATGTATCTATGACAAAGCAAAGGACTGCAAATATTGGGTTGATAAAAGATATGTCTTATTTTTTTTTTTATTGAAGCAGTTTTGTCAATTGGCTCTTTAAAAGCACGCCATGCCCAGAGAGGAGCAGAAGGATAGAAAAATAGTCAGACAATTTTATATTATTTATGATCTCAGAGAGGCATGTTTTAGAGTACTGCAAAAGAATCAGTGGCTCAGAAAACTCAACTTAATATTTAACCTATCCTAGATTATGATGTAAGAATATGGCAGTGCATCTGTTCGTATACGATTTCGGTTTCGTGTAATTTTATGGATTTGGATCTCTATTAGGAGTAAGATAAGAATAGCTAAGAGTACATCAGTTACATTTCTAACTAGAAATGCACCCTGACAGTGCAGACATGTGCCAAGCAGCAAATATGGGGAGTAGTAGCTTAGTGGTTAGAGCATAGAGCTTAGAATCCTGAGGTGGTGAATACGAAACAGATTGCTACTCTGGGGCCCTGAGCAAAGACCCATAACCCCACAGTGCTCCCCAGGCCCCGCATATGGCAGCCCACTGCTCCCCAAGAGGAATGGTTAAATCTAAAGAGTTAATTTCATTGCGCTGTACTGGTGAAAGTGTAATGACAATAAAACGGTGAAAAAACCCAAAAACAGTTGGCCTATATTTTGACTTACACCTATAGATAAAATTCACACATGATGTGGATTATTAACAAATGTTCTGCAAGAATTTACTGTAGGCAATCATCTGGCAATGCTAAACACTATGAGAGAGGCATGACTTCTAAGGTACTAGATCTTAGCTCTTAACTGGCATTCTATCTAGTTTCACCTCAGTCCTGTCCTGATCTCTGTCATAAACCACTTCAATGTGTTCCATTATCAACAAATGTTCTAAAATCCATGCAAAAATTCTCATATTATTTTATGTATTTTTTTGCAGACATACAGAAAAAGGCGCCCCTTTAATGCAGGAATGTGATTAAAAAACAAACAGAAATTTCAACCACTAGGCTAATAGAGCTCTGCTCAGTTGTGTTATATGATGCGTAATATGAATAAAGTCAGAAAACTGACATGACATGTTTTCTAGGTGGCTATCTATATCTGTAATGAGTTGATTGATTTCACTTTAAAAGCCCATTCAAAGCTGTAGTAGCTTTACCATTTAAACAAGCATTTTAATCCTTATATTACAAAGGTATAAATATCTCCTGACTGTGATTTTCAAGAGGATAATGCACTTTTTCAGAAAGATTTTCTTTAAATTAACTGCAGCAATCTCTAAAGCAACAGATCTCAATCCAATAGTGCACCTTTGAAATGCACTAAAACATGTTTGTTTCTTGTTTCTTTGTTTCTGCATGATTAAGTCATGACATTATGAAGAGAAATCTCTGCAAAATCATGAATCACCAAGGCATTACTTTGGTTGTTAAGATACCACTATTGGTCCTGACAGAAGGAACCTCCTGTAGTGAGAGTCCTTACTTAATGAGTTATAATTGTAACAAACTAATTTGAATCCATTTTCCCTGAAACAAAATCTTTGTGGAGTTTTATTTCAAAGAACCATAACTGATAGTTGGTTACATGCATGCATTTTGGGTTGACCCTTTTAACTGCACTTTTATTGAGTGCAGTTATAAATCTTTTAGAAAACTGTCACAGCCATATTTCCAGTGCCTGGGTTAGTTGAATTTTTTATTTCATACTGCTTTGAGGCTGAAGCTGTGTGGAAATATTAGAATGTGATTCAATACTGAAATGAATGGGGTAATTATTGCACATATGTCTGTGTCCTAAATGCAGATTTGAGTCTCTATGGGGGTGGGTGGTCTAAACCAAATCAATAATCAATGATTTTTCTTCTAGTTCTGTCTGTGCTTTGGGCAACAAACCAGGGAATTATTTTCATTAGGATTTTAACTCCCTTAATATACTTTCAAAACATCATTTATAGCGAACTGGAGGTTTACACGTGGGTTTCTATTCTAGCTACTGGAGCAAGCAATCTTTTTTGCCCTTATAGACGCAGGTACGACACCTGAAACCTCTACAGGAAGTTTTCACGTCTGGAGGCTCAAGTTATCCTAGAGAGCCTGAACTCCCTCACTTTCCCATGAGTATACAATAGATTTATTCGTCTCATGTTGCTTTGTCTCCTTGTCCTTGTTGAAGCTGAAATCGGTGGGGAATTTGATGAAACTGATCCTTCCCCCCTATTCAAAGCCCAGGGGACACTCTTTGCATCTGTCACCCAGATGACTTAAGAAGCAATTGCTTGATCGCTTTGCTTTCAGCCGAAGGTTTAGTGAGAGAAAACCCCAAGAACTAAAGACAGAGGCAAGAGCATTCACATGTGGAAACATCTATTGTCATCCGTTATAATAGAAGTGAGATGGCCTCGAATTATCTTTTGTTGCAGCAGCATTCTTTTACTGTAAAGAATTAAAACGTCTAACCTACATTTTTTTGCGCATATACTTAGTGTTGGAAAAGAAAACAACATTAAGATGCATTTGTTTTGACAAAAACAGATATCACTTTTACTGGTACAAACAAAGAATGTAAATTATATGTAAATGAAAGGATTTTTTTTAAAAGCGCACTTCACTTTTTAAACTTTTTTTTTTTTTTTTTATCATACATTAGCCAGTTTTCAATCATTAATTCACAACTTCCTTTCGCCCCGGAATATAAATATGATACGATATACCACTAAGCTGGATAGAAAAACAATTTCATCCTTATGGCAGTTTGGAAAATATACAAGAAATAAATATGTTGTTTAATTCCTTAAGTAAAAAAATACGAATATGTACATTTTGATTAAGTCTGAAGGACTTTAAATGATGATTTGTGTGTTGTTTTTTTTGATACATGACTAACATTAGGCTATTAAGGAACAACACTGCAGTT